AAACAACTGAAAGATGTCTCTATTGGTCAAATATCCATTCATTACTGATACAGAACTGTTGAAAAAATAACTGCCAAAGGAGGGATTTTTTATTGTTTCCCACAGTTCCCACACATTCTCCCACTGCCTGAAACGGGTCCAAGGGACTCCTTTGTTTACTTCCGTAACATAATTTCATCACTTTGTAACCCTCACGCTTCTATTGGCCAGCGCTCTGAGGCCCCGTCCACACGGAGACGAAAACAAAAACGAACCTTAGTCGTTTTCAAAAAGGTCTTCCGTCGACACGGAAACGGCTCAAGAAACGTGTCCGTCCACACGAAAACGCTCGAAAACGCTGGAGACGCTGTAGTACATATGGCGGGCCTGTAAGTGGTGCTGTACTTCCGCCACAAAATACACCAAAAGCAGCGAATAAGACTTATTATTATTATATTATTATTGTTGCTGATGGTTGTGGTAGAGGAGCTGTACATGTTGCACTAAAATCTGTGTCATGGTCAGTAGCGTCTGGAGCACGAACGCAACCCTGTTATCCGCCATTGTTGTTGTTGGCGAAACGCATCAGCAATGACGCGGGTGACGCGGGGGTGAGCAGGAGAGGTGGGGAGAGGCGGGGCTATGGCGTCATCGTTTTCAGGAAATGATCGTATAGGGCGTACACACGGACAATTCGGGCTCCGAATCCGCGTTTCCGTTTCGGCCTCGTGTGGACGAACCGTCTATACGATAGAGAACGTTAGCGGATTCAACTGATATCGTCTCCGTGTGGACGGGGCCTAAGACATTGTACCTGATAGGCTAAGGGGCGGGACATCTCTTAACGGTTAACCAATCACAACAGAGCCGGCCAGCTAACCAATCAGAGTGAACTGGGCTGCAGCACAAAGTACAATTATGAAACCTAAAATGAGCATAATGGGCCCCTTTAAATATATCACCATCTCAAGGTCTCATGTTTCAAAGTGTCTGACAGAAAAAAACCTGTAACAAATCAGCCTTCTTTACTTGTAAAAATGTCAAACATAAGCCATTTCCTCTTCTCTTTCAGTGCATTAACTGGAGGACTTCAGCCCGTCAAATTACAATTATTGACTCCCTGATGGGATCACCATGGTAACAAACTAGAGGGAGCCAGCAGTGGTCCTGATCAACCCAGCAATCAAGGCTGTTAGCTCACAACGCTAACATCAGAGGGCTGGACCACAGAGCCAGTTCAATGGAGAAACGCTACTAAGTCCGACATAACAGCTTCCAATGTTTTATAGATGCAGACTGGAAACATGCAAAAAGTGACCATTATTGAATTATTGTGGCTGTTATATGTCATGTACTGTAAACAATTTTCTCCTAAGGCACATAATCAAATTGCTGTTGTGCCATCATTTCTATCCTCTATATATTTATTTTACCACTCAAAGCACCTTCAATGCCTATACGTCTTTATTTTAACGTCACAACGGCATTCTCTTAACCTTTGTTTTTTATTTATTTTTTAGACTAACAATGGTTTTGGTGTCCTTTATCTGCATTAAGAGCATTGTAAAAGATAATCTAGCAAATAAAGACCAAGCATAAAAACTCATATCATATGTGTTTTGAAGGAATTATATTGGGTGTAAACAACAGACTGATACAAAAACAAAGTGAACTATTAGTGTATTCTGCTACCTGCAATTTATTGAAGACTTCCTTTGAAGCCAGCATTGGCAAATGGCCAGGGAACATTACAAACATATTCAGTAGTTGAGTAGAACTAAGAAACACCTTGCACATAAAATGAAACAGTTTTCTCGCTCAGATTTTCTGCAGGAACAACTAAAATAATGCCAGCTGCAATGCAAATGATTTGAGTTACTGTAATCACATGGCTTTGTTTGATGGTCTTACTTGCGGACGTGTATGTTTACATCTTTATCCCTCAGGGGAGAATCTATATTACACACACAGTCAGTGAAGGCTGTCCTGGTAGCTAATAGGGCAGAGTGTGCGCCATTAAAGCCATTACCAAAGATGCCCCCTCTCTTTCATCCTTTCTCTCTCACTATTAAATAAAGCAGAAATGGCAAAAAATAAAAAAATAAATAGCCATCGAATCTATTCAGCCTCTAAACACTCTCCACCTCCGGAGAGAGCCGGACCACTTCACTGAGACAGGGACCAATTGGATGACATTTAAATAGATGGAGCCTCGGTGGAACGAATGAGTTCATTTCCAGCGTTCATGTCGCGGTTCAGACCCCCCTCTGGATATCTAACTGAGATCACAACGAACTGGCAGAGCAACGCCTAATGCAAATTGTACTTTTCACAGCTGTTTCCTATATTTCTGCAAGCGTCGAGCAGCGAGAGATAAAGCTATGGGAAAACAGAGAATTCCGATTTACACAATCAGACCTGCTGCTCCCAATCAGGCATTAAGGCAGCGGCGCCACAGGAGAGGAAACGTACCGCAGCTCCAGTGCATGTCAAATCAAAGGCACTCTGGATGGAGATGTACTTATGTACGTGCCTATTTGTGGGTTTGGAAAGGAGAGGAGAGGAGAGGAGGGGAGAATCAGTATATAGGGGTGTGCAATACTCGAGAATGAAAATCCAAACTTGTGAGACACAGCAGATAAAGTATTTAATGATCTGCCTTGATTTAAAGAAGCTGTATATTTATTATAACACGCCGTGAGGCACAGTTGTAAACAGCACAACATAAAAATCCATGTACTGTAAAGTCTCTGTGGCTTTTTCACTTTCTTGTTTGTGTATGATCTACACCACAGGAGGGGCATAAATATTAAAAAAGGAAGCCATGACCCCGGGGAAATTACAAGTAAGACTTACTGAAGTTACATTTCCACGATCAAAAAGGGCAACTACAGTAAGAGTTAACAAGTATGTGGAATACTGTTAGATTAGAGGGCCATTCGAGCTATTTACTTCATTAAAGTTGGTGGACTTTTCCTCTCTTCAACCACTTAATCCTCTTGTGACTTCTCATATTTATCTACCAACCTTTAGTGAGGTCCAGAGAAAGTTGCTAGTGCATTCATATAAACTGAAGGAGATTAAATAAACGAGAAAAAGCACAAGGGTGACATATCACCAGTCGGTAGCTGATGTTTGTGTGTGAATGCCTGTGTATGAATTACTAGAACATACCACACACTAAGGGTTGTGTTGAGGTGCTGAAAGTAGAATTGAAATGATTGATGGTTTGCCAACTACTACAATAAGCCTGCACAAACGAGGCAAAGTGAAAAGTTCATTTGTGGCCTGCCAAACACTACTGTAGTTTCTACAACATTTAGAAGGTCTGTCTGCCGCTTCTCTCTGGCTTAGCTCGGTTTACTCTCTCTTTTATTTCTTCTTTCTCCATCGATTGTTCTGCCCCGAGTCTCTCAGACCACAGAAGAGCCGTAAAAATCTGAGCCAGACACATATAAAGAAAGATATTCAAAGTTACAACTCTTCTGAGAGTCGAGGTCGGAGGTCACGCTAGACCAGTAGAGATACAGTTGCTTTTATATATCTCAGAGCAGATTCCTAAATGTCTATTCCCTGTTCTCTCAACCATCTATTAAACATTTCTCCTTTGCTATTCTCACACTCTCTTTGCCCCTCCGACTTTTCATTCATACATTTTTAATTGTGCTATTTTAATTCTTGTATTTCAAGAGATGTTGCGGTTTTGCATTATTCAGAATTGTTAGTTGGAAAGCAAGCTCCAAACTCACTTGTATTCAATTCCCAAAGTATCCCTTTACACTTATAATATAAATTAATTTGTATATCCTGCAATTCATTTGTATAATTAAAATCTAAAAAGGCCACAAATTATAGTAAAAAAAACAATAATTTGGATACAAATTGGATTGTTAATATACCTTATTTGCTATTGGTTGTTTGTAGATTAGCCATTTCCTCACATAATCTGGCACATACTGTAAAAGGCAGCTCATGTGCACTTCTTCCATATCTCTCCAATCTATTTTTCACATCAAATTGTGCAAAAACTTAAAGGGGACCTATCATGCAAAATGCACTTTTGTACGTCTTTTATACATGAATATGTGTCCCCCGGTGTTCCAGGGAAGTGTCAGAAAACACAACCCTCTCTATTTTCCTCCATACCCAAATCTCTAAAAAAGGGGCTGCAACGGATCTGATAAAAACTGATCCAGATTTGAACACTGTCCTGACGTCAGGACGGTGGCGCTACGGCTATTGGGCCAACTCCACCAATCAGGAGGAGACAGCCACGGCCATTGCCGTTCGAAAGTGCTGGAGACGCTGTAGTACATATGCCAGGCCAGTAGATGGTGCTGTTCTCACAGAATCAGCCCTTGCAAAAACAGAGCTAACATTTTTCAAATTGAGCAAAATGAGGCATGGCTAAAATGCATAATCTGTTTGGTATTTTGAAAAAAAAAAAGTATAAATATGCCTTATATAGGTATGGTCATACACTATATTTTTCAAATATAGCATGATAGGTCCACTTTAAATAATCAACCCTAATGTATACAGCAGCTGTTGGTTTCCCTCATTGATGTAACATGCAGTTTGTGAGCAGCTTCCCTGCTAGCGCCCGTCTCACAGGGGAGTTCCCGTAATGAGAAAAGACACCAGCTGGTCGCAGGTGTCGTGTACAGAAATTGATACATTATTCCAAAGGGCTTCCCTCCTCCTCTTCCTCCTCTTTGTCTACATTCAGATCCTCTTCCTCCCACCTCCACCGCCTACTCCGTCTCCATTAACCCTGTTGTTCTCTCTCTAACTCTGTCTCCACATCTTGCTCTTATAGCATCATCTTTCTCTTAATGTGTCACCTCCTCGTTCTTCTTTAACTGCTCATCACCCTCTTTATCTTCTGCCTGCTACTTCTATTATCACCTTGCTTCTTATCTACACCCATTTTTTCTATTTGCACAGTTGTCTGCTCTCACAAAACACACTCCCCTATGTTGTTATTGATGAGAGAGCAGAGTTTTAATGCAAATTGTTACCTTTCTCACAAGTCGCTCCACCGTAGCTGGGCAGACAAAGACACACAAAGGAGTTGATCTCATCGATGCAGGTTCCTCCATTCTGGCATGGGTTAGACTGGCAGTCATCAATGTCTGGAGGGAGAGAAAAGAGGGGGGAGGGGGGGGGGAGATACGGGTTGAGTCAGGTTGATGCAACACACATTCACACACAGCAAAAGCACTTTCCAACAGGTACTTTACAAACTACCTGCAACAGTTTTTACTGAACCCTGGGAGATCAAACTTCTGGACAGATTAGAGGTGTTTTTGAGAAAGGTATAATTAAAGGGAATTGATTGAACTTCATCAGTGAGAGGTTTGGGATGCACTGAAGCGCATGATGCTAATAGCAATGTGTTGGCAGGACGTGCTGCAGTTTTCTAAACCTGAGCTGAAAGAGCAAATTGACGGAGAGGGGTGGAGGGTAGAAAGACCGAGAGACATGGAGGTTAGAGAGACGTGATCCATCAGTTGGATCTTCTACCAACAACACATTCATGCACAACGAGTTGTGTGCAAACTGTGTGCAAATCCATTGTAATACGTGCATAAGCGACCAAACAATGCAAGCAGACAGATGACGTCTTCAAGCTTCGCAATGACCAAATCAAGTCTCAATGTCTGTGCGCATAATGTACACACTCACACAAACAATCACACACACATATTTTGCAGAGGCGTTGCAGGGGTGAGAGTTCTCATTCAGTTGAAAAATGGTAACTGTATTTCTCGAGCTGATCTGTGCCGAGGGGTAAAATCATTAAAACTGCAGCTGGCATCCCACAATCCTCTGCCATCACAACATCTCGGTGAGTCCCTGGGGCCTTGGCAAGAGGTCATTGGAGCAGAGGTGGAGTGAAACAAGACGGGGGTGGCAGGAGAAGGTCGGAAGTGACGAAAGATGCAGGGAAGGAAATGCTAAAAAAAACACAGAGTGAAGGAGATGTAATGAAAACAAGGGGAGAGGTGATGTAAAGACTTTGGGAAGCTGGCAAGTTTCAGGGTTGGATTACAGGGGCTTTGCAGGCACACAGTTTGGGGCGGAGGAGTCTGTTTGGATAAAACAGTGTGACAGCTCCATTGCTGCTGCTCTGCTTTGGGCTGGCTGATATTAAAAGGCTGGATTTGATGCAGGAGGTACAGACCCAGCCAGAGGAGTCACAACAAGATGGCATTTGTATTGGTTTAGTGTATCGTTGCAAATCCATGTTTAATTCTCTGTCTGACTCATATAAATAGGGAATATAACTACACAGCAGGGGCAGCAATTGAGTCACACACACTTCAAAAATCAGTTTGAAGGCAGATGATCTGACATCTAACAGGGGGCTGAGTTTAGGCTCCAGACTTTTTTACGACAGTCAGTCTGCATTACGAAGTAGAGGCAGAGAGGGTCTGATAAAAGATGCTGTTGGATTGCATTATGGGAATGTAATGATCCAACGTGATTTATCCTAGGGACAAAAATTCAGGATACTCATTTGATTTATTCTAAATCTGTCTCTTTTGAGTCCCTCAACTTTGAAAAAGTTAGATGTCAAATCGCTGGTGACGACCTTTAATCTTGCTGTGATGCGTGACTAAGGGATCTTTGTTAAGGGATCCAAAAGTTTGGAGATGAGTAAATGGTTGTTGACAGTCTGCAACATTAAAGGTGGGGTAGGTAAGTTTGAGAAACCGGCTCGAGATACACTTTTTGTTATATTCCATGGAATGCTCTTAACATCCCGATAGCAATGAATATCTTAAGTGCTTTGACAAAAAATCCATAAAAAAAAGTCATCTGTGGAAGCCGTAATACTGTAAAAAGTACGACCAATCATTTTAGCCGGCCCAGCTAAAGTAACTGGATGGCCTACCTGCCTGTCAGCCTTCCATCTGTGCACAAACTTATCTCGTGCCCTCATTGGTCATGTGCGCGTTCGTGTGTGTTGGAGGAGGGGCTCTGTAAGGAAGTGGCAGATTTTCTCCGGTTGTGTATTTTCAAATTCTAGCGATCTCGAGCCAGTTTCTCAAACTTACCTACCCTACCTTTAATGATAGGAGAATTGCCTAAAGATGAATATTTATAAGAAACTGCAATAGGTGTTCTATGCCAGTCACGTAAGCTGTTGAAATCATATTTTTTTTATTACAGCGTGACATAATGTTATTTTAGATCATTAACGTTTCAATTCACCACTGAGACCCAGCAGTCACCACTAAGTGAAGACATTACTCTACAGGATTATTAGCTAATTGTGACAGTTAACCGCCACAAAACAATTGGCCCCACTCTCTAAAAGGTGCTCTGCAGTGAAGAGAGGCCACGCTCGCTTAATGGTGTTAAATGGTGTGATGTTGAAGTTAAAGGACAAAAAGCTGTATTTTAGTCCAACCAGGCATCAAGTGATAGAAACCCGTCTGGGGTAATTAAACCGCCTGCTGGAGTCCAGGAGTGATGACATAACAAGTAGTTATAGCAGGGAGGGCAGGCATTTTCTTCTATGTTTTTTGTAGAAAATAATGTGTGGAATATAATGTTTAAGTACACAATACATTCAAAACCACATGTGTAGCTTTAAGTATTTCCAGTGCAGATCGAGAATGATATAACCCCAAAATATCCGTAATAAATATGATTATACAGATCCCTGAGTGAACGTTTGAGGAAATATCATTAATATAGCATGTATGATGAACGATAGATGCTGCAAATATCCCCCCCCTCCCTCTACACCAGGAACCAGATGAGCAGGTTGCCAGTACAGCTGTTCAGAAACAACTACAGGGGGTAATATGAGCCAGCATCTGGCCTCATTAAGCACTGCAGCACTATAAGGAGTGGTGGAAGCCCCTGGATTTTAGGAGCACTGGGGTCAATAAAGTACACCTCTGAACATCGGCTATTAGAGGGGCCACAGTGGGCATGTGGACATAATCTGTTATAGCAACCAATATAGTGAAACCATCTGTAGACAGTGGCAGCTGGGGTTCACAGACCTTCATCTCGTCAAATTGAGGAAAATTCAAGCACAAAGGTGGTCAATAAATACCAATCTTATCCTTAATGACCAAACACAAGTAGCTTGATAATAGCTCTTTTTACTCTCAACCAATTAGATGGCTGTCCTCGAAAAACATTATACTGTGGAAACAAGGGATAAACACATGAGGAACTAATAATAGCTTCAGATTTAGTCGCGGTAGGCTTACGGCCCGTCCACACAGCGGCTTTGGAAAAAGCTTGCCGGCGGGCGTGTCTGAAGCTCGACCAACAACAAATCACGTGAATCTCCCGCCCCTGAGACACAAGCAGCGGTTTGATTGGCTAGAGCTTGTACTGGCATATCATTTGATTGGCTGACGCTTCCACCGAAAGCTTCAGAAGCTTCAAAGGTTGAACATTGCTCAACTTTTGAAGCCTGAGATGCCTGGAAAGCTCCGCTCTGCTTCCCACAATGCAGTTTGGCGAAAAGTGAGGCAAAGTGACGTCACCCCATTCAAAGTGAATGGGCAGAAGCGTTGGAAGATTTTTTTAACGCAGCTGTGTGGACGCACCGTTACTGTATACTGTCTTAATGCAGATAGATATACAGATGATGAACACTTAAACTAGATCAGTCAATTGCCTGGGCTGATGCATCTGCAACAACATATATTATCTTATTGCAAACATATTCAAATGATGTGCATGTCAGTATTGAGGTAACAAGAAAATTGCAATACAGATATGCATAAGCAGCTTTTGAGCATATTTGAAACCATGTCTTGATTATAAATTGTGCCTTTCCAGCTGAGAGCTAATACCTGAAAGCTTTAATGATAACAAATGGCTAACTCTTTACATTTCTTGGTCCAAATTTGACAAACTTTAAGGATTAGCATCAGAAATGTTTACTCCTTGTGTGGATGTAGGTCTGAAAACAAAGTTGTTCTGGAATATTGTCATGGAGATGTCGTGATTTGACACAAGCATCAAACTTAAATAAGGATGAAGTTGCAGTAAAAAGTCCTGAGAAAATAAACCATATCCAAGTCAGACATGTTTGAAGATATAAAATAACAGTTTGGCTATTTTACAACATAAAGGTTTACATGTCATAAAGAATGTATATCCAAACATTGCTTATTTCATCAACCACTGAACTTCCAATGTCTCCTACAATAATAAAAAGTCCATTCACAGTGTATGTGCTCTAAAAGGTTTTACATTTCCACATCACACTTTGTTGTTTAACCTCCTTGTAAACTGTTGATGTTAGAGAATCCTGTTCACACATACACATGTACAAATCAGATTGAACCTGAGTACACTCTTCTGCAGGATATGTGTTGATCACTCCACAAACAGTATGCCGCTTATACATCCCAATAAAGTGACATCAAGCTTAACATTTTTGTGTGGAGTAGGAATTCATGTTCATGCTAAATCTACAGTAAATACCTGATGATATTGTTAAAACTGTGTACTATATGGCCGTGACAAAACACTGATTCTTGGTGTCTGTCGGTGTCAACCTCACCTCAACTCAAACAGAGCGAAGAGGGCCAGAGCGCAGCAGGCCTGTCCACTTAAAACCCTCTCAATGTTCAACCCGTCCAACTCGGCTTAATGAAAGAACCATCTAACAGCAGGTGGCAGAGTGTGTGTTTGCGTGACTGTACTTGTGCATTTCTATGTGTGTGTGTGTGTGTGGTTGTGAGTCTCTGGCCCGTTCCCCAGTACAACAAAATCAGGCCTGGGCACAAGGAAAGTCTCAAGAGAGTCGAGGAGAGCTGTGCTCCACTTATCTGCTGGCAGCTAAATGGATGGAGGGATAAACAGGTGCCAGCCACTGTGGTAATTGCTGGGCGCAGCTAAAACACAAGCGACGCTACCATCTTTTCTTTAAGCCAGCATTTTTCATTTCAATCTGTCAGGAGAGGCAGTAAATAAATGTGAGCAGTCGAGGTGACTAACATAATGGCAGAGTTGATACAAACATGAAATTGAGGATTAAATGTGGTTCACTGCTGATTGAAAAATGATGATGTTTTGATGGGAATGTTTGATTGCAGGATAAATATGGAACCAGCTCTAGTTGTTCATCCCCGCCTCTCTGTGTACTTCT